ATATGAAGTGCTTATATAACTAATTATATGCACATAATATAAGTAGTTACCTAGGGCTCGTTGAGAGGGTAGCTCGTTATGATTTTTTTTCAGTTGCGTTCAAATTTTTTGTCAATTTTCTTTCTCTATATTTTGATATCTAGGTATTTTCTTGAATATTATTGTTAGTTCTTCGTTCTTCTTCGTGTTAAATAATGTTAACGTCAAAACTACGATTGTAGTTCAATATTTATTTCATAGCATCTATCTAAGCGATAAGCACAATTTTATCGATATGACATTTGACAACATTTTAAAAGCGGCCATGTCTATTTATAGACAGATGTATTATTATATTTAGACAGTTGTAGTTATATATAATTCGACAATCTGAAATGTGATAAAACTGAAATAGTTCGATTAGGAAATAATCTAATTAGGACCTATTGTGTTAATAAAATAAAAACCTCCCATTTAATCACCAAAAAACAAATGATTACAATGCAAAATATATTGTAAGATAGGCACATATGAGTACTAAATAATATTTCATTGAGTTGCTACGTAATTTTTTTCCTGTGAATTTTGTTGAAATATGTTTATTTATTATAGGTATTTATTAGATAAAGCACGCGTGGATTATCCGAGTCGCTGATATGACGAATACCTTCACTTATCGATATACGTGCATTATCGCTCTAAGTCGAGGATTAGGAACTGATTTATTTGTTTTATCGCGGTCCGTCGGAATTCTCAAAGAGATCGCGACGCGATTGCAACGTACTTGTTTTTAAGTGACAACGTCATCGGATTTATTTTTATCGCATTATATCTTTTAGTGTTCATATGAACACTATATTACGATTGCAGGTTATGTAGGTCTGAATTAAGGGCTTTTGGGGTCTATTCTTATGTATTATAGGACGGCAAAGGAGCAAACGGATTAGCTGATGGTAAGCAATCAGCGCCACGCATGCAACAGCTGAAGAGTTATGAGGGCGTGGTGACTAATTGTGGGTAAGCGTTGTGGAGATTTAGGGATTGGGGATGTAGTGATTGGAAATATTAGATTAAGGTGTCGTGAGGTGAATCTCATACGGTTTACATCTCAACAATATAATTATTGCTTCTCTCGTTTCAATTACTAATCTGTACCACCTGACAAAACCCACAAGAATTCCATGAGTAACAGTTCAATTATGGCGCTTATTTGTCTTTAATTTAAAGTCGAAATCTTCACCATCTACTTAACTGTAACGCGTCCAAATTGAAGGCCTGCCGATGCGTAACGGTGAATGATAGTGAACCAAATCACACGTCGGAACGTGAAGCAATAACAAAAGCTCTGTGAGGGATCTGACTGATTGCTCACACGTTAGCGAAAGCCGAACAAATTAACTTAGCACTTCGATGCGTAGAAACCATTTGTTTCCAATTTGTGGGCCGTTCGACAATATGCCCTATGTGTTTATCCCGTCCAAAAACAGTGCAAATGACACTAATTACGCCATTGTAGCGGGGCCGTGTTAATGGATTGCTCATACCGCTCTGAATTCTACTAAATCGTGTGTGTTTGGTACAAATGTTAGGATATGTTACTCAACTTGCATTCGGATTTTAGACTTACATTGATGAGAGGGAGATTTGTTTTACTGTGCTATTCAGAATTGAAATATTTCCTTTCTTTGCGAGGGGAAAATCATCAAATGATTTCTGAGTGTCGTCTCCTGCTCTAGGCTGAGGCCGCGAAACCCAGACTGAACATCAGCCGTTCAGGGCCTAGTAAATACTACCTACTGTGAAAATCGGTTCAGACGATTGAGACGCTGTGACGCCCGATTTTCATCTAAGAGGGCGCGGGTGTGAAACCTGGAAAACACTTATGTGACCACATTTTATACCATTTTATACCAATCTTATTTTCTAAGTTTGACATGGCGAAGGAAAATTTTTGGAGGAAAGCCTGGACTTCTAAATTCTAATTACAAATTTTAAATCGCTGATCCGCGTTCGATATTTTATGCTATGTCCATATTATAATACGGTATTAATACTTATTCTTATTGTAATAAGGTTTAATATACAAGTTGGGGAACTTTAATGAGAACAATTTGAAGAGATTTTCCGTTGCATATCCTACTTGCTCAATTGCATTTAATCGTTTAACTTGTCATATGACGCAAAAAGCGTCGAGAACTTTACATCGACCTATTTCTAAGCTAATAGATACGTCATCAATTATATCAGAAATACGAATATGAACCTTATGCTATAGGTAATAGTGTCGTATGCAAATATCGTTACTGCTTGGAGTTTGGACTGACATTATGGGCGCACTCACCAATTTAAGAAGACTAGTTTTAGTCTACGGCTTTGCACGTATGGATATTTTGATTTTTTTTCGGACTTCACTATTTGGATACGAATGGTCTAAAGACTTGAGTGATTCTGGTAATTATTGAAAAGTTTAATAAATTATAGTTGACAGCTTTAGTAGAATTTCTTTTACTCAACGACTAACGCATTTGTTTTTCATAATAAGACAATTCACGAAGAATCGTTCTCTTTTTTGTATTATCAATGTATCCTCAAATACGTAATCAACTTCGCCGGCTATACATTCAAAAGATAAAAATTATCATTTAAATCCTACCGCAAAATATTATCTTCTTTGTCTAACAGATTACTTAAATCGATGTTTCATGTTGCAGTTTTATATCTTGACTCGAACAATTCACTTCTTAGTGTTGATTGATTAAATATAATATATATTTTATACATGTACATAGGTACTTACTAGCCAATCCCGTGCGGCTTCACTCGCTTCGCTACACTTATTAGATCAAGCGAGATATTTTTTAGCCTTCCACGATAAATACATTATTTAACAAAAACAATAATATTTAATTCGAGCCAGTAGTTTTGGATTTTAGTGCGTTCAAACAAACAAATTGACTCTTCAGCTTTATAATATCTTAGTATAGATAATATAACGTCTATTACGCCTCTTTTTGGGGGGAAAATCATCAATTGAATCCGCCAATTAGGTATGAGCGTGACGGAAAGTCACCTTCTAACTGATTAGCCGGAGCTGGGGTTGCAGCAGGACATAGCATATGCCCATTTATACCCCTCGAGAATATCAACTATTTCATTGATGGATTAGTTAATTCCATCTACAACTTGCTGGGTATTTTAAAGATCCATATGTATGTGATTCAGAATTTAATTCATAAAAAAACAGCTTGAAAGATTATTTATATGAATAAAATACCTAGGTACCGTAATCGCCGAGGTATCACCTAAATCAGCTGATCAATAGTAGTCATACACTATTTATCACGAATCCTTCAGCTGGCTGAAAAAACTGATAACCATGCTGATTTTGTTTTTACTTAGGTACATATTATAATATGTAGGATATTGTACTAAAGAGGTTTTACGCTTTACTGCTAGAGGTCGCAGGGTAGAGCATTCTGATCACAACGAAATATTCCTTTAACAACCAAAAATAATTTATTTTTAATAAATAAATAATTATGACATACTTATAAATACTATGACACATTTTCTTATGAATATATGACGCAAAGACAATGCTGTAATCTCTGTAATGCAAATGAAGATTAAATGACAAAAGTAAATAACATAATAAATCTGATTTTACGACGAACCAGAGATAATACTGTTAATGTGACAGATAATAAAAATATATCCTTCTCTGTTTGTCGCGAGTGACTAATTCAGATTATAGGAATGAGGTTGTTGCTAGAAGATGTTTTACAGTCCACGCGAATTGATATCTATTTACTCATGTTTTTTTATGTAATAAAGGTCATTATTGCATCATCGGGAGTTTTAATAATTCTTATTTATAAAAAACTTTTTTTTTTGTATTAATAACATTTTGTTAATATGTAAATTCGTTAAAATTGGTTTAGTCGTTTAAGAGAAAAGTGTATCAAAAACACCTAATAAACAAATTTGTGTGTTTTAAACAAATAAGTTGTCATTTAAATTAAGAAGGCATGCATGCTCGTCATGCATATAAATGGGTAAATAGAAAAATTGGAACAAAGATACATTTCTTTGTTAAATAATAATATTAGATAACTCAGGTAGCTCATTAACAATTATCAGGCCTAAGAGTCAACTGGTCCATACGAGTATCTTATACCTACCTAAACTAAATACCTACCTAATGGCCACATCACTACATAGTATAAAACAAAGTCGCTTTCTCTATCCCTATATCGTATATATGTATGCTCAAATCTTTAAAACTACGCAACGCATTTTCATGCGGTTTTTTAAATAGATAGAGTGATTGAAGAGGTAGGTAGGATAAATTCACTATCGTCGTTGCAACCGTGCAAAGCTGGGGCGGGTCGCTAGTATGATGTACATAATATATATCTTAACATGAGAACAAGACTACTATTGATATAAAGATAATTATTTAAACATCCGTTGTCAAATATTTATTAAATTATAATGTGGGAATCAGGAAATAATTAATTAGGGCTTGATTAGAATTCGAAGTCTTCACGTTGATATGATGATGATTACAATGATGTGTAGTTTATTGTACCTATTAATTGTTTGATATCAATGTTTTCGGTTTGATTGTTGCTGCTAATTAAAAGTAAACTTTAATAGTTACATTGGAGAATTGGTATTTGAATGTCTTTAAGTCTAGTTACGTACGTTCTTATTGATCCTTAGCGAAAGTATTTAATTTGTTTTTTTTTCCCAAAAATAATAATCAAAGAAAGGTAAAATAATGCGAGGAGTGCAGAAAACCACGTGCACATCAGTTTTTTAAGTATTTGCAAAACTTCATTCTAAGTATTTTAAGCACTGGGTGATCATTTTATTCCAACCCAATCCATAGATGAAATTATAACCCTGTCTAAACTAAATGATGGTAACAGAAAGAAATTTTCGTCACGATTCCGACTCTTTTATTTGGCGGTATAATAAATCCAAAAACCAACTAAGAAGTTCTTTTTTCGTTATAGATGGCTGCAAACATCCAGCAGGCCTACCTAAAGGTAACTATTACATAAACCTAAAGGCAATCCATTCATATCAGAATGCCTTGCTAACATTTATACAAGCTAAAATTGACTGTGATGCATTTGCTATAAAATTCAAAATCCAAAAGCTTTGCTTTCTCAGGCAGAATCTTGAATAAGTACTTTGTGAAACATGGTGATGGATTTTTTAACGCAATTTTTTATCAGGTGTAAATACTACGACTATTTTGACAGACAAATATGAGTATCTCAATTAATACCTTTTTCATTATTTAAAATTCCTTGAACATAAAATATGAATGCATACCATTATCATACCCTAATGACGTACGTTTGAACATTATAAACATTGAAACGCTAAATTTGTAGCATCCCATATACGGTCAAAATGTTCAAAATGAAGAAAATTCCCATCGGCTGCAATTTATGAATATCTCGCGCCTTGTGACGTCATACTTGTGAAAATTAACGCATCCAATGAAGCGAGTTTTTTTAATTTACTGTTCTTTGATAGCTTTTTATTTTGTTAAATAATAAGTTACGTTGGGCTAATATTGATTTGGCTTCAACTTATATCGATTGCAGGATCTAAGTTAATTTGTCTTTGATAATAGAGAAGTCATTCAAAATCTCTTTTCTTTATTTGATAATATCAGGCATAATAACTGTATTTGAGTCACACTTAATTTTTATCCAATGAAATTTGAATTCCGAAAAGAACGTTCTAAATTCAAAAAAATGCAAAATCATCTTTACCTAACGCATTCTGAGACACGTGTATCAAAAATAAATCATATTATTCATACCGCGGCTTGTTACTATCACTGGATAAGCCTTATCAGGCAAATAAATCTGTGAATCTAAACTTAAACTGATATCCTCGAAATCCCGTTGATAAGAAACGATTAACTATCGCCGATTATACTTTTTCTTAGTATTGGTTTGAAGGTCACCCCTCATATTTAGGTGTGTATGCAAAAAGTTACGATACGACATTGATCAAATGGTATAAATATTTTTGTGAAAAGAAAGACAGCTAATGGTTCCCTAAAAACGAAAGCTTTTAAAAACAGAGTAGGTACTCATAGTTTGAAATTAACATTTAAACAGTACTTGTGACAATAAAAATCAAGTTTCACGTCTGTCAGCAATATGACTGAAATTCACCACAATCATCATTACCAAAATATTAAAGACAACTGAACACTACTCTCAATTTTACACCAAAAAACAACAGTAAATCTATCAGCTGAGCAACAAGTACAACTGGTACAATGACTCGTACACGTGAATGACGTAGAAGAATGATTCCTAACAATTCCATAGAGACGTGACGTAACTTTTGTAGGCGTAGGCGCCGTGAGTATCCCGACAAATCCTTAAATCGACACGGCTAAACAAACGCTGGATATGTGAACATTCCCGCTATTCCCGTGGATTAAAGCCGCTTAAGCCCGACGTCGCACCCGTGCGGTAGTCAGTGTAAACATAAGGGCACCGCTCTATGAGACGTCTAGCCGTAGACAATGCTTTGTTTTTGAATTTAAATAATTCTGGATTTTTTTTCGCCATTCTGGACAGAGGTTGAAAATACAAAAACCTTTTAATTGATATCATTTTATAACTTCAATATAACTGTTTTCAATAAAATTGAAAAGAAAGTTCTTTACTCGTATAAGTTGGACTTGACAATGCTTTCTTTAATTACTCTAATAATGACTGACCAAGTTGATGTCAGACTTTTAGGCAACTCCCAGAATATAGGTTAAAAATTTTATTGATACTCACGCTGACATAATTATATGTAAAATAAACTATTTAGGTAAAAATAAAAACGGCGAACGCAAAAAATTGCGTAACGTTGCGTGAACAACAGAAGTATATTTTAAATCGACTAAATTTCGCGGTCTTGCTAATCATGCAGTATCTGATCCTCCATGGAAGGTCAGAAGGTCGGATCATGTCCGTGGCTTGTGGCTCTGACGAAATTGGCTCAAAACCCGAGATAAGTTCGGCGTAAACTATAAAAATCTGCGACGTATAATAACACAAATCCCGATTAGGTTGATACTCACCGCTGTGGCGGTTGATTAGCTTGGGCATAAATTATTTATTTTTCATTATTTTATTTATAAAAAATATCTATATTATGTTAAAATATATTTCTTCAGTTCTCACAACCTCGTTTAAGTTTTAAATGTTGTATTTATAACCAAGCAATTTACTGTATTTTTTTTTTTGTTGTATAGTTTTGAAAAGTTAAAATAGATGTTGACATGGTCATTTTGTTTTGCATATAACACAGCCATGTTACACAAAAAGCCAAGGTTAAGTTTCTTAAAAAAATAAGCCAGATTTAATGTTTTATTTTCAGTAAGAACCTTATTACCTATATTTTGGATTTGAATAAATTTCACATTCAAGTTATTTTTGGAAAGCGACCTCCGTAATAATATAACCTCAATTTTACAGTTTTATTTATGTGAGTGATAAGACAAGGACGTTTTAGAAAACTTCTTATTATGAATATAACATGGCTTGTACTTGAAATGAATGTTAAAAAAAACATTAATTCCAAGCTTTTAAATAGGAACTATTTATTAGATAGTCATGCAGCCATAACATAAATTATTATTAAATTAAGAGTTTTGCTTTTATATTTTTGGAGTAGCACCTATAGGGACACACTATTCTTTATTCTAAACACTAATTTAAGCAGCATAAAATAAATATTTTCTTTATAATTCATTCACGTGATTGTTTGTGTTAGAAAATATTGTCTGTTCTAAGCTTCCGTGTGTAGCGGTCATAATTCAACAGTCAAAGTTGTTATCTAAACTAATTGTACGACTCAATTATCTATTTTTATATGCGATTCATACCTATTTTATTATTTTGTCAGCATTAGGAGTTACAGTGGAAAATTTTTATATGTATGCTCATAATATTACGTATTGTAACATCACCTACCTATTTATTTTGCGCATATCTTAACGAGACGATTAGATTTATGTTCATTTATTTAAAGCGAAAATTCGAAACATTATTTCGGACTTAGAACCATTAGAATCATTAGAATTATGACGAAATACGTAAATGTGTTCATATAAGTGCCTTTAAGAATTCCAAAGGCGATTTCGAATGACCTAGCGTTGTATGAAGGTTAAGTAGGAAGAAAAATAAATATATAAAAAAAATATAATATGATTCTTAGTAAAACTATTTAGGGAAAACCACGTAGATGTTTTCAACGCTCGTTGACATCTCAAGAATTAAAAGATAAGCTCACATGATATACAAATATAAGTCGTTACTAAAACGCTATCTCGTTCAAATAAATGTAACATAAATTAATCAGGACTGCGCGATATAGACAACACGGGTAATGCCATGGTAAATGTTACTATCACACCGTCGTATCCCCGTATGTTTGTATGTCACTCGCTTGCCTCCGTATTCGTCAGATTAAAGTTTATCGTTTGCATCATATTACCAGATAAATACAACTAATTTTGAAGCCTCGTCATTTTAAATAGGTATTTCGCTATTTATCTTTGACGACGTGGCTGAATAAATAGTTTAGTTTAATTAATTTATTTGGCTTAAATAAAATCTCTTTATCTCAACCTCATTAACTTCTAGGTTTCCAAAAAATATTTGTTTTTGTTTAATTTGCTAATGCGTGTCTTATCCCTCGTTATAAGTTATCATGATGTCTATGCAAAGAAAACTTTAAGGAGTGCGTCATTTTGAAGTTTGTTAATGATTAAGTGCGCCTAATGTACTTTTGCTAATAATGTACATACGTGGGCTTTTTACTTAATAAGTAATAAACGTAAAAGTAAAAGGTATTGCTTAAGTATGGAACACTTAAGCAATACCTTTCCAGTTTTATAGCAATGATTTCTTTTATTTATTGGAAATAAATCCATGTATTTGGAGCTTAAAATGGTCAAATGGGTGCCCACTAACTTCCAAAATCACTATACTCTTCTAGTGTAAATTGCAGAACAATTTTCTACGAACTAAGCTAATTTAATCAGGGGATTTAGTCTATCAAACAAGACAGTACAGAGTACAAAATTATTATGAAGTCGTTATATCAATTTGGCAGACACAAACTTAGTATGAAACAATAAGATTACGCATCGCTGCAGGAAAAATTAAAAGGCACCCATGTATTTATGCAGGATGTGACGTCATCCATGTTTGTGTGTGACGTCGAACGTGCCACAGCTTTGATTTTGGAACGGAACAAATATTTGTAGCAATACTTGTGTAGCTAACTTCAGATAATATAGGTATACTCGGGGGATGTATGATAAATTAATTCCATAGGAGCTTGGTTCGATTCTAACCCATAATATTAAAATACCTGTAGTCTATCGATACTGAGTATAGATACTGATATAGTACTAGTAGAATCGATACTGAGTTAATTGAGCCTGATCTTAGAACTAAGATAACAAACTAACAAAAATAGTTCACACCTGTCTGAAGTTTAAGCACACCTTTTGTAATACTTTTTGTGCACCATGTAGTCAACAATAATCTTTTAAGACGTTGACATTGTCGCTTGCCAAGCACAAAATTCATAATTGAAACATAATCTCACCGAAACCCTGACTATCACCACCGATTTCTTGACTATCACCACCAAATTCTTGACTATCACCACCGAATTCTTGACTATCGCCACGGTCGAATCAAAGTTAAGTTTATAAATGTGTTAAAAAAGTTACTTACACAACACAAAACCCTAAGTCTTCTTCCATATCTTGCTAAACTCATAGATTTAGCGTGACAAGATAACAAACAGACAAACATACATAGTAGATAGTTGTCGGATATCTATGAAAATAGTAGCTGACATGACTTGAGCCCTGTTTGTCTGTTTGTGCAACAATTGTTACGATGTGATTTACATATTTACTGATCTTGTAATCTATGTAATGTTAGTACTATGTACTTGTGAGGTGTAATGTACTTATATAAATATATGTACATGTATATGTGTGTTCAAACCATGTTACGTTTACTGAATAAATGTATCGTTGGTAGAGGAATCGCAAAGAGCGACTTTACAGCAAGGCAGAATGTAATAAATAAATAGTTTTTCGCCGTTTTTTTCTGTTATGGTATTTAATTTGCAATAAGGGAATGCAATCTGCTCCTCTTGGACTTTAACTTCAGAAAAGTCGATGTTTCATTGAACGCTTATACTATGACACTTCTGCATGATCTCTCTAAGGATTAAACGCGTGACGTCATTCGTTTTAAGAACACACTTATTCACAAAGAGTCATACGAATTAGTTGTTAGGTTTAAAATCAATTTTAATGTTACATAAACATTCTAATGCATTATTTACCAATATTAGTACTAAATGCGGAGATAAGCGTAACGCATCAATGTGGGAATACAAACTGGATAATCAGTAATCTTAAAACTAATAAGTAATTAAATAGAAATAATAGATTTATGTATATTTACACACATTATACACCCCTTTGACTAGCAAGAATACATTAAGTCCATCTCTAATTAAGATGTTTTATAAATTAGTATACTTAAATATACATAGTCCAACGATCATCGTCCGAATTAACTAGAAGGAAGAACCCCTCTGTGGTTCGAAACTAGTAGAGCTTTTCTCAATTTATACACGTGATTAACCCGCGATTTTTAGTTAATTTAGTATGTCTCACGATAGTTATTATAAAAACAGATCATCGTCCGGTCACTTGCTCAAAATCGATTCGTATATCTAGTCGTGTTTATGTCCGTCAGTTAAGCTTTCGTACCAGTGCAACGTTCTGGTCAAGATTTTTATTTGCTATTGAAATGATAGTTACGCAGTTTACTATCAAAATGTTGTAGATAGAAGTACTGTGAAGGTGAAAAGGTTTTTTATTAAAATGTATCCTCTATATAAAGGAAGCTCTTTACTTAAATTGTCAATTGCCTGAAATCACCAGTGAAATCAATTGTTAGAGTGTAAAAAGACTTGTGAAAAGGAAAATCTTTTATTTCAATATCAAGACAAATCAATTCCCTTTAGCAAATGCCTAAACGCATCTCGCAAAATGGACAACGAAACCGCCCAACAAAGCTCAACAAGTCTCCGACACACACAAATCGTTCGAAATAAATTATAAAGTTCGGCGAACATATCCATTGTAATTGTGGTACGTGCTAGCCGTGATTGCAGCAAGAGTTAACACATAATACATTACAGTTTATGTCACAACACAATCAGGCTCCGCCGAGGACGAATCAGGCGGCGACGCGCGTAATCTGGGTTAACAGGGGTCAAACGACATCACAAATTCCAATACGATATTAGACGTATCTGTGGCGCGAATCAACGATTCTATGGACGGACAAACTGTGCGTGCTATTGGCCAACACGCCCCTGCGCTTGATCGTCTCATGCGGCACATTTTGCACATGCACTTTGATTGTGCACGTCAAATTGCTCAGAATTGGTAAGGGTTAATTTATTGTTGAGAGCCAAGTGTACCTCCGTAACTAGATCATTTTGTTCTTCATCTCTCCTCCGTTCCTCATTGCTTCATGATGTGTTCAATCAGAAATTATAAAATCATTTGATATGGTGTTTTGGTAGGTGTTATGATTCGTTAATTTCAATTAAAAGCTCCGTCCTCATTTAATTTTTGTGTGGCGCTGTTTTTCGTGTCAACTTTAACATAATAACGTGATGAGATATGTCATGTTTGCACATCATTAACCTTATTAAAACACTATCATTCGTTGTGAGTTTGCCGTTATGTGGTCAAACCCGCGTTCAGTAACAATATTCAATGAATGTAATCAGTGCGGCTCATGAACGGTTTGTATCGACTGACGCAATGCCCAAGTGTCCAATTTGTATCTCGATTCGCCTTAAGTGGTTCGACTTTTCTTAGATTAGAATGTATAAAGATGTATGCTTCATTTTTCTTGTGAGATCACTTGCAGTTTTGTTGTCACCTTCGTTAGGAAAACACAGTCCTTACAATGAAATTATTTGAACGATTAATGGTAGGGTTCGCTAGGTTTGAATCAAAGATTATTTTACGAAGAAGCTAAAGTTTCAATGCCTTATCTCTTCTTGAAAATCTTTAAAGATCTTAATACCAATCTTGCAATCAAAGACCAAGCAATATTCGTAGTGTAGACAACGGACAACGGACAACGGGAATTTCCAGATAAGATGTGTATCTAATACGTGCACAGATCATGTTGTCACGCTTGTGACGTATCATTCATTGACGTCCAGCAATTGGCTGTAATGTAAATGATAAAATTGTCACCTCGAGTCGTGACTCTTTTGTCTTATTAGTACGAAGGTAAAAATAGCCGGGGCATCTATTTTCAGTGTACCAACCTGTGTCGTAGTAACGCTAATCAAATGACCACCACCGAATATGTAATCCAATTTCTAACACGACTATTCAACGTGTAAAATGGTTATTTCTATTGTTTTTACCGTTTTAGTTTCGTCTTGTGGACTCAACAATATCGTCACTTGTTTGCGTAGCTTGATATAATTTTAAATACAAACAAGAATTAATTCGTCGTATTTATGACACGTATTTAGCTACCGTTGACTCCAAATAAAATAAATTTTCCAGTTATACCGGTAGAGTGTGTTCATTTAAATCTGTTCATGAATTTTATATGGTACATATTACATGAAAAAAGTACGGTTACATAACGCACAATATAATGTAAGGCAACGGTTTTCTTCGCTTGCCTTTACGTTAGAAATGTCCCTCACGTCTGGCTTTGACGAACACTTTGAGCATACGCAACCATATTGCACCAATGCATGCAAGTGTACCGGCGCAAATTGTAGAATTATTCATTATTATTCGACCTTAATGGAAGCTATGGGGTCTCGTCTAGACACGACACCATAAAAGCATGGATAAGCTCGTGTTTATGTATTGAAATTATCCACTCCGTTATATTAATTGGGCATACGCAAATTAAATATTAATGTTTGTAGATTACGGTCCGAGGCAATTAGCTACGATTGGCAGTTTTATGTATCCGTTTTCATAGTTTGTTTCGATATGATTTTTGCGACGAATTTATTGGAATTTTCAACTTATTTATTTTCAACATGAGTACTCATATTTGAGCTGTATGCAATTTTTATTTTAATAAAATCACTCCCTATAGTAAATATATTAAGGAAAAACTAAATATGAATTTAAATGTCATATACACCACTATCTAACTTTCTGTGGATTATAAAAAACACGTGTGACATGCAAATCAGGTGTTTAATATGAGTAAATAAAAAATATATTCATAACTACGTAATTTAATCCTTATGCCTATCCTAATTAAAGTTTAAATTACGTTTGAAGTTACACATCCGTGTTTTTACATTGGATAATCACAGGATTATAGGTGAGACCTCGAGATTAATGAAAGATTAAAAATATATTTTCGTTATCTCAGTCTCAATCTTCGACTAAGAAGTCGTTATCTAAGATATAACAGATATAATATCGAAAAATATTTATTATTACTGTAGATTAATTACTGATTAGCATAGAACATGTTTTGATTTTTAATTAAATTAGTGTTACAGAATTTTTTAAAGTTTTAAATTCTTTGATTCGTTTTAAGATAGGATTTGTTTAATGTGGTGTTATTATTATAAGAGCGATATCAGGTTTATTTCAATGTACTTTTTAGTTAGCAACATCCTGTTTACAGGACTAGCCATTAAAAAAATCCTGGGATATGGTATTCAATGTATAATATCTTTTTACCCATTTTCGCCTGAAACACAGGTTGTCCTAGTTCAGGCACCCAATATTATGAACTTGGTATAGCTTTAAGCAAAACTGTATATTCTAGATTATGTGTTCTTCAATATTTTTTATTTATTTATTATTATTATTATTCTTCTAGCAAACTAACCCACACCTTTCTTTCGCAGAACCTATCGGCGGAACTCAGGCGCAGCAAGACGCCCCCGAGACGTTCACCGGAGGAGCGCGCTGTGCCCCGCCCCCCCTCAGCTCCAGTCCATCATGAGCGCATCCAACATACCCCCCATCCTCCCCATACCCCACACCTGTCACCCAAGAAGGAAGCTTTCAACAATCTCATGAACAAAGGCACACCAAGTGAGTACACAATTTTATGATACACCATAAATATTCCGCGACTATGAATAAAAGTTATTTGTTTATTTAAAACTACCGTTGCGCCATCTATTGAAATGGAGATGCGGACAGAAGCTGTAGAAAATCGTTGAATAGTATGATGTTAAGATATTTAAAGTCTATATCTTATGAAGTCAAACCTTACTGTACATTTGCTTAAGGTCGATGGTACCGATAAACGCAAGCTTAAACATCGATTAACGTTGACGCCAGTCAAAAACAAAAGCCAAAAGATTTTATCGAATATTTTTTCTCAGACGAAACGTCCCTCAAACGTCTTGAAAAACAAGTAAGAGTGCATTATTCGTAGTCACGCGCTCTGTTCTTCGGTCCCTTTGTATAACTACGGTTCATCTCAGCCTAGTTAATCTGATGCCATTATTGATTCTCCGATATCTTTCGGTCGTTAAATCAAACGTTCGCAGTATATGCGCCAGTGATTTTAATATTTATACGCCTCTATAAAATGCGTCAATGTTTATTGAATAGTTTCTAAGGAGTCACCATTCTGGTGTTAGTTATTCTGTGGCGTTTACGTTTTGTTTTGATTGTTCGTTGCGTGATGAAAGTCCATCGATTTGTTTGTCAAGCGAAATTTGATTACTTGTTACATATTCGTTATTGAATAAAAATATAATGCGATTGCAAAAATGAATACTTAATTAAGCGACTGATATGGATTGTGTTCTGATTGTTGGATTTCCTTAGATTAGATACTGTTTTTAGAATTGAAAGCAAGGAAGTAGGAAAAGTGGAATTTATTCTAGATAAGCACGGTTCAATCCATAAAATTGCTAATTTCATGATGGTTTTAACACAGGATTGCGGTGCCATCAACCCATGTACAGATAATACCCATCACATACCCTACCGAATAGTTTCCATTCATTTTATTCTTTATAAATCATAATCTCCAAATCTACCGTCTACTGTCCTTGTCTTTTTAACGCAAATCCTTTTTGTTCCGTCCCTTTCTAGTTCTTTTATTCCTTAAATCTAATCCGGTACATCCCGTATAAGTATTAGGCGCGCGGAGTATAAGCCCAAGTGCACACGCAGCGGCATATCACACATCCTGATCCCTGCAGGTCAATCTACCACGATCTGTCCAATCTGTATATTCAATTTTAAACGTTATCGCTTTGTAATAAAGTTAAAAGTCTATTGATAATAGATTGGGAGTAGGTTGATGTGCTGAAATGGGGACGATATTTTTCTTTGCGAGAGAGGAAAAGATAAATTAGTCACATAACAGGTACCTATGTACCTATAAATTAAACGTTAGAACCACAGTAAATATTTATTATGAATAATTTTCAAATATACGAAAATATATTTTTATCCTTGAAGTTTTAGAATAAGTAGCTATTCTACATTAATTTTCGTATTAGCTACTTATACTTATTGTGTATTTGTGGACACATAATTTTGTACTTTTTCGACTCCACTTAACCTTGTCCTTCTTGGAAATGTATTTTTTTTATTAACATAAATAGTAGCCGGACATAGAAGTATCAGAACACATATTAATATTTAATATTTTTTGTCGATTGTGTCAAAACGGTATTAAAACTATCAACTACTTCTTCAAAGCATTTAGTCCAAAGAAACACCTTAAAACGTCTAACATTTAGGGTGTTAATAGTAATAATTGTTTGTCCTTTAGATAATAAAGCAAAAAAAACTGATCTAAACAAAAAGATCGTATTAAGACAATCGATCAAAAAAAAAAAACTCTGTATTTACTATTTTTCAATCAGCATTATTGATAAATTGAACTAATAATATTAACAAGGTGGTTATAATAATCAAAGTAGATACATTGAAGCGAGCTTGTCCCGCCAATCGGTCGGTGAGTTAATGCCTAATGCCACTAATCGGGCGTTATAAATCATTATTAATTTCGAATCGGGCTCGCCGCCCGCGCCGTCGATCCGCGCCGATTAGCCATTGCACAATGGCCGACGGATTACGCTCGACGTTGAAGATATATCTTTTTGTCAAATCGTACCTGTGTACCGACAGAATATTTGTTGATGCTAATGTTGCTTTGAATTTTTTTTTTATAATTTATAAAAAAAAAATAAGTAATTAAAGTTTTCACTTTTCACAAATAATATTAATTATTTAATAAAAAGATCTTTGATTGTTTTTTTTTTTATTTGTAAAATTATATGTTATTTGAATATTGGGATTTAAAATTAAAAATAGGTGGCTATTTGATAACAAAGATAGTACCTACCTGGTCGCAATTAAATTATTACCATTCAATATGAAGACGATACGAAGACGAGACGAAGAATGACCTTGTTTTGTTCTGAAAATGAAATTGAATTTCATCAAAATCGTTGGGGCATTTTCTGAGACCTAATAAATATAAATATTAATATATCTGTTATATACATATTTTCGACAATCACTCGTTGCCTATTAGATATAAAAAAAACAGCAACACAAATATCGGAATATTTATACGGAATTTAAACTTTACCTGCTGACTCTACTTAACACGAATAAGCCAGTTTTATATAGATAAGCCGATTTATATATTTTTTATTGTATCTTTTTTTAATCTTTTATTTTATATGTGAGACATAACCTATGGAACTAAAGATGGATTTAAGAATGGATTGAGAACATCGTTTTGGATTTTAAATGCAAATATTATTAAAACTAAGCTTGTTTTCATTATCACTAGAATCAGCAATAAAATAATAATGTTTGGATATCATCTGATCATCTCTAATGTATGTATCTTTAAGATGTTATCTTTATCCAGTATTTATTTTTATATATTTTAAAATAAAATGCTTTAATCGGAGATCAGATTAAAGAATGAGGTTTTTAATTGCGAATGTATATTAATATGTTATTGACTTCAACTTTTTTTTTATATATTTATTTTCCTATTAGAATTAGAAGAGTACCTATTTGAAGCGTTTTTTAAAAACTATGATATTTATTGAATACGTGGAATAAATATGATGACGATTTACATTAGTATATACTTGCGACCAACAACAAATGTTTATATGTAAATTATACATATAGACCTTCCTCTTCGATCACTCTATCTATTAAAGAAACTACATCAACATTCATTGCGTAGTTTTAAAGACATAGGGACAGAGAAAGCGACTGCTTTATACTAGCGATTGTTTTATACTATTTAGTGATTCTTTAGCACCCATAGGCAATGAAACCTAGTAGGTAAAACTAGATAAGAGTTATAGGCATAATGATTGACCACAGCTGGAACCCATTATCAGGTAGATATGTATAAAATACTTTATGCCGTATGATACGCGGTAACCACATAATTATAAGTAGTAATGGTTTTATAAAATGAAGATAGGTATAACTAATATTGTATATATACAATGGGAAAATTTTATGTCTACTTAGTAGACTTTTTACTAACTAAATTGTGCAGAAACCCCTTCGTACTATACGTATGTATGTATACATAAGAATTTTGCAACTTTCATAAGTTTGTAACACATCGAATGTTTATATTTTATTCCGTGTTGCAAGCTTATGTCCGTGTAAATAAATGAAAATACCAAAGGAGAATAAAAACAATGGTTTTGGGAACAACATACTAACAATAATAAGGCCTAGGATGATCCGTAATTTTTAGATTTTCCTTTGAGAACGTATAGTTTTCTTTTCAGTACTCGCTGAAACATCATACAGATAACAAAAGAAATATTCGATAAAATTAAAAAAAAGAAATCAGCAACACAGATTATAAAATTTCATAACTGTCATCGGGCGACGCAACGTGGTGTGAGACGTATATTATTAGGGTGGCTACACACACGGGGTACCGGCTTTATCTCCGGGCGACACGAGCTTGATCCGTCCCGGATAATCCGGATAAACGCGATCCGGGTATGTGTGTTATCGATTTAATGTTCAACATACACGTTGGTTTGCGTGTGTGCGTGCTTTTCTCATTCTTCTGATCTTCGATCGTTGTTTTTTTAATTTGCTATATAGATTATAAATAAAACAATATTTAGGAATAGTAATCTGATAGAAAATATTAATTTTGAATAAAATTTAATATAGCTAAATATTTGAATGATGATATAATTCTAAAATCTAATGAAATTTCTATTAAACAGTTCCATTTCAAACGAAATCTAATTTAATTCTAACATTAACATTAATAATGAATATTTAAATGTCCACCTATTTAACAAAATGACAATTATCAATCAATAGATTCCTAGTAATTTAGTGTATAATATTTAATCACAAAATGCTATAACTATCCTACTTAGGCATAATATTACCATTGACCATGCTTAGGCACGAATGGGTCGGCTCGAACGGGAGTGATACCACGGCCTCCCAGAAATACGACATTAAACATAACGTTTCTTTTCGCCGTATAAGTAAGATTATCGGAGGTCCAAGCATTCCTTACCCTAATCCCCTAAAGTCCGGAAACGCATTTGTAACTCCTATCCTGTTGCGGGTGTCCATGGGCCGCGACGATTGCTTACTATCAGGTAATAGGTCTGCTGATTTTCCGTCCTTTCATATAACAAAACAACACACCCACTACACATTATATAAAACTTAGTACCTAATGCAAAAACTTGACGTGAATGCGTTTAACAATCAGTAAATTGCGATAGTAAATGATATCAAAGAATCCTAAAGCACTATGCCTAAGCGACTAAATGGTATAAAATTTAAAAAAAATATATGTATATTCCCACACGCGTATAGTGACGTAATAGAACGATAAGATATTAAGATATTAGATTTATATGTGATAATATCACTAATATTAGTAACGGATTTAGAAAGAAATGTAATATTTAGTTTTACGTCTGTTGTTGGTATAAATCGATAAGTTTCTATAAAAAAAGATTATCATTGTTGCGACTGAGGTGTTTCCTGATTCCTATCTAGAAATAGATATCCGTGTTTATTATTATATTCCG